GAATCAGTAATAATAGGCCTTTGCCTAATTACTGAGGAGAAGCTTCTACCCAACTGCTCTGAGTGGGACTTCCCCCAGCTCTAGTTTCTTTAGGAGTTCTACTCCCCCAGCCTTTGGTATGGAGGCTCACCTCTGGTTGGTTGACTTAGAGGCAGCCTCATTGGTCTCGGACCTTGTGGTTACCTAGATACTTCAGAGTTGACTTTTTTTTTTTTTTTTTTTTTTAAATCTTTTTGAGACAGGGTTTCATTTTGTCGTCTAGGCTGGAGTACAGTGGTATGATCACTGCTCAGTGCACCCTCCATCTCTTGGGCTCAAGTGATCCTCCTGCCTCAGCCTCCTGAGTAGCTGGGACTATAGGCACGTGCCACCATGCCGAGCTAATTTATTTTATTTTTTGTATTTTTAGTAGAGATGGGGTTTCACCGTGTTGTCCAGGCTGGTCTTGAACTCATGACCTCAAGTGATCCACCCACTTTGGCCTTCCAAAGTGCTGGAATACAGGCGTGAGCCACCATGCCCTGCCATAATTTTTTTTTTTTTTTTAATATTTGTGTAGATGGGGTGTAGCTATGTTGACCAGGCTAGCCTCAAACTTCTGGGCTCAAGCATTCCTTCCACCTTGGCCTTCCAAAGTGCTGGGATTATAGGCGTGAGTTACTGTGCCTAGCCTGGAAGTTGACTTTTTTAGAATAAATTTAGATTAACTAAGGAGCCTCTGGGTAACCACGGTAGAACTCTAGGTTTCTACAGAATTTGAAAAAAAGTTTTATATTCCATGTTTAAAAAATGACAACCATTTACTTTCCTGAAATTGTAAACCTGTTATAGTTATACCCCCTTGTTCATGGGGGATACATTCTAAGACCCCCATTGGATCCCTGAAATTGTGGCCACTGCTGAACCCAGTTGCTATCAATTGGAAGACGTTTCTGTTTGTATTTTCTACCCACAAATTTAATGCCTCTCCATCTTAACTAAGCATTTATCATACACTGTGGCTGTAACTTTAGCAGTCTGAGGTGTAACAGCAAAACTAACACGAATGTGTTTTTCTTCCTCACAATTTCAGACATTGAGGATTCATTGTTACTATAGATCTTAGCAACCTTAGCATACAATTTTTTTCTCCTTGAGTACTTTCACTTTTTCACTTAAAGGAAGCACTTTACAGCTTCTCTTTGGCATACCGAAATTGCCAGCATTACTACTCTGCTTTGTGGCCATTATTAAGTAAAGAAAGGATTCTTTGAACACAAGCAGAGATACTTCAACAGTCAGTCTGATAACCAAGATGGCTACTATGTGACTAATGGGCACTTAATATACACTAAGTGACTAGTGTATGCAGCATGGATACGCTGGACAAAGGGGATGATTCATATCCCAGATGGAACAGAGTGGGATGGCACAAGATTTCATCACACTAATAAGAACAACATAATAGTATTAAACTTATGAATTGTTTATTTCTGGAATTTTTCATTTGGTGTTTTTGGAGCGTGGTAGACTGTGAGTAACGGCAACTGTGGAAAGTACAGCTGTGGATGGGGGGGGGTACTGTACTGTTATATTTCAGGCTTTCTCTCAAAAATGCATGCCAGTTTTTATGAGATAAGGTCTCACTGTGTTGCCCAGGCTGGATTGCATTGGCATAATCGTACCTCACTGCAGCCTTGATCTCCTTGGCTCAAGTGATCCTCTTGCTTCAGCTTCCAAAGTAGCTGGGATTTTAGGCTGATGTCACCACACCTGGCTGATTTTTTTCTTTTTTTTCTTTTTGGAGACGGAGTCTCACTTTGTCGCCAGGCCAGACTGTAGTGGCACGATCTTGGCTCATTGCAGTCTCTGCCTCCTGGGTTCAAGCAATTCTCCTGCCTCAGCTTCCCAAGTACCTGAGACTACAGGTGCGTGCCACTACACCCAGCTAATTTTTGTATTTTTAGTAGAGACGGGGTTTCACCATGTTGGCCAGGATGGTCTTGATCTCTTGACCTTGTGATCCGCCCGCCTTGGCCTCCCAAAGTACTGGGATTACAGGCGTGAGCCACCCTGCCTGGCTGATTTTTTCTTTTTTAAAGTGGAGATAAAATCTCGCCATGTTGTCCAGGCTGGTCTTGAACTCCTGGCCTCAAGTGATCCTCCTGCCTTAGCCTCCCAAAGTGCTGGGATTACAGTCCTGAGCCACTGCACCTGGCCCCAGTTTGCTTCTTGAAGAATTGCACGGGGTTTCTTAGGCCACCGTCCTACAGGAGGTGCAAATCTGGGAGCACTAAACCTAGCTTTTTATATGCTGATCACAGCAGAAGTCTGTAAGCAACAATGTAAATTCATTTCTGCTTTTGACCTTTTTTTTTTTTTTTTGAGACGGAATCTTGCTCTGTTGCCTAGGCTGGAGTGCAGTGGCCCAATCTTGGCTCACTGCAGCGTCCGCCTCCCCGGTTCAAGCGATTCTCCTGCCTCAGCCTCCAGCGTAGCTGGGATTACAGGTGCCCGCCATCATGCCTGGCTAATTTTTATTCTTTTTTTTTTTTTTTGAGATGGAGTCTCACTGTGTCACCAGGCTGGAGTGCAGTGGCGCAATCTCGGCTCACTGCAACGTCTGCCACCCAGGTTCAAGCAATTCCCCTGCCTCAGCCTCCCAGGTAGCTGGGACCACAGGTGTGCACCACCATACCTGGCTCATTTTTTGTGTTTTAGTAGAGATGGGGTTTCACCATGTTGGCCAGGCTGGTCTCGAACTCCTGACCTCAGATGATCCACTTGCCTTGGCCTCCCAAAGTGCTGGGATTACAGGCGTGAGCCACTGCATCTGGCCTATGACCTTTGTGTGCAGAGGAACAGATGATAGATTAAGATGTTTGAAGTTAATTTAGATGTTTCAGCTGCTGGTGCCCCTGTGGATTCTGTATGTTTCAAGTATTGGAGGGATAATAAAAGTCTCCTAATAGAACCTGATAGATTAATAACTCCTATTCTAGCATGTGAGATAAGGGATACTGGACAGAGGGAAGGGACAGGCTAGAGATGAGACTGTATTGCTATGAAATGGAAGAGGCAGGATTTAACCAGAATGTAAAACTTGGAATTAACCTGTTTATGAGCTATTTCTCAAGAACTGACGAATCTGCCTGTATTATCTCTGTGTACTTTAGTAAAGTAATAAAAAGACACTTTGGCTGACCTAAGCAGAAAAGGGCAAGTTTATTATAAGGATGTAAGATTGTCTTATGGAACTTGAGGACAAGGGTGTTCCTGAGCTATGGGATAATACTAGAACAAGGGTTTGGATGTCCTGACAGGATTTTCTTTCATTTCTGTTTCAAGTGAAGCTGTCTACTTAATGGATGGTCATTGTCAATCAGGAATACTTACCAAAAGCAGGACATCAAGTCATCCTCTGAAAGTGAAAGGAAGCAGTGAGGGTTGAGGAGAGAAGAAAGTATTTACCTGTGAAAACACAAGAAAAATAATTTCAGGTTTTACTGGTGTCAGGTGTAATTGGGAGGAAAGAGAACTGAGGATAGTACCATTAGATTTATCTTGGCAGTGATTTATCCAACAGAGTAAAGAGGCATGTTTAAGAGCTGCTAGATTGCTGGTTTCCTCTCTGTTTAAAATCAGGAGACTGAGCAAGATTATCTCTAAGGTAAGTATCCAAAGCTGTAAGTTTTGCTACTTAGGCAGCATCAGCGTCACCTAGTAGCTGGTTGAAAATGCATTATCTCAGGTAACACCTCAGACTGACTGAACTGCGATCTGCATTTTCACATAATTTAGATATAGTTAAATAAATTTGGTACATCCAACAATGGATTATTAGGTAGGTGTTAACAAAAAGTTGTGGATGTATATGAATTGCTATAAGAAAATGTTAATGATTTCATGATTCCATTAAAAAACCACTTCTACATATAAAAAAAAACTAAGAATATAAATCAAATTGAATTACAGATGATTTAATTTTCTTTCATTTTCTTTATTATTAATGTATTAGCTGAATTTTTTTTATTATCTGAACTTTTACAGTGTGTATGTGTGTTTTAATTTTATCAAGAAAAAAAATGTAAGACCTTTTCTCTTTGAAGTCATTTCAGATTTAACACCTAGCATAGTAGGTAAGAGAATGGACTCTGGTGTCAGCCAGTTTGACTCCCCATTTCCTGGCTTTTTGACATGCTTAGTAATTTGACTTTTGGAGCCTTTGTTCTCTCATCTGTATAATATAATAGTAATATAACCTACATTTTAAGAGTTTTGAGAATTTTTTTTGTTTTGTTTTGTTTTGTTTTTGAGATGGGGTTCACTCTATTCCCCGGGCTGGAGTGCCGTGGTGTGATCTCAGCTCACTGCAGCCTCTGCCTCCCCAGTTTAAGTGATTCTCCTGTTTCAGCCTCCCAAGTAGCTGGGACTACAGGCACCCACCACCATGCCTGGCTAATTTTTGTATTTTTAGTAGAGATGGGATTTCGCCATGTTGGCCAGGCTGGTCTGGAACTGCTGACCTCAGGGGATCCTCCCACCTCAGCTCCCACAGTGCTGGGATTACAGATGTGAGCCACCATACCCAGCCTGAGTTTTGAGAATTAAATGAGATTGCTTGTCTAGTGCTTAGCACAGTGCCTGGACATAGTAAGTGCTCCATTAATGTTTTTATTTCTGTTATTCCATTTTTTTGAGATCTGGTCAAACATACTTACCTTCTTTTCCCACCCTCCCCCAAAATTCTTCCCCTGGCAAAAAAATAGCAAAAATAGCAATTTAAAAAACCAAACACAACAAAATTAGTAGCCTAATAGCCTTGGGTAACTAATAAATTGTTAAGAAATAGGATCAAGGTTTCCAAAATTCCCCACAATTAGAATAAACAAAAGAGATTTGGATAAAAGTGTATGGTATTAAACCTAGTGGTATTATTCTGTAGAGAATAGCTGTGGATTATGTGCATATTCATTTCTTTAACGCAGATATCTAATTGGTGTCTAATTTCTTTATGACAGGACACTTGTGTTAGCTTTAATAGAAGAGAAATGGAGGAGCCATAGAATATTAAGGATGAATTCGGGAAGGCCTGAGACCATGGAAAACTTGCCTGCTCTCTACACTATTTTCCAAGGAGAGGTATATTCTTTTGTGCTTTGAAAACTCTCCATTTATGTTAAGAATAGATTGAGGGTGACAACTGGGTTTGATGTTCCTGTCCACTTAAGTCTGTCTTGAGCGTTACAGCTTAAATGGGAAGGGCCAACGGAACGTGTGGCAATCACATGTGCCTTCTCTAAGCTCCAGATATTTAAGTGTGTAGTTGACATCGTCAGTGGAATACCAGCATGTCTAATTTATGTTTTAAAATTAATTTATTTTTTCACCGCTGTGGTTTGAATGTGTACCCTAAAAAGCATGTTTCAGAAACTTAATCTCCAGTGCATCAACGTTGGGAGGTAGGGCCTAGTAGGAGGTATTTAGGTCATGAGGGCTCCACCTCCTGAATGGATTAATGCCAATTATTGAAAGACTTGAGGCTGTGAGTTTGATCTCTTTCTCTCCTTTTTTTTTTTTTTGAGATGGAGTCTCGCTCTGTCGCCCAGGCTGGAGTGCAGTGGCCGGATGTCAGCTCACTGCAAGCTCCGCCTCCTGGGTTCACGCCATTCTCCTGCCTCAGCCTCACGAGTAGCTGGGACTACAGGTGCCCGCCACCTTGCCTGGCTAGTTTTTTGTATTTTTTAGTAGAGACGGGGTTTCACCGTGTTAGCCAGGATGGTCTCGATCTCCTGACCTCGTGATCCACCCTTCTCGGCCTCCCAAAGTGCTGGGATTTCTTTCTCTCCTTACCCTCTTACCTTCCACCATAGGATGACACAACAAGAAGATTCTTGCCAGATGCTGGCACCTTGCTCTTGGACTTTCCAACCTTCAGAACTATGAGCCAAATAAATTTCAGTTCTTTATAAATTATCAAGTCCCTGGTATTCTGTTAAAGTAACACAGAACATACCAAGACACTCAACAAATTGTTTCTCTTCTAGACGTTTTCACTTCAACAAATAGAACCACTATCCTGCAGGTTCCCAGACTACACATCTGGCCATCATCCTTGAGCTCTCTTCTTGATTTGATTTTGATTTTCCCTCCCACTCTAGTCTGTTTGCAAGTCCTAATTATATCTGTAGTCTGTGTACTTCTTTATCCCCTTGGCACCCTATTAGTTAAAACTCTCCATCTTTTGCCTCGTCTTTACTAGGATCCCTGCTTCATTGTAGCTCCTCTCCAATCTATTCTTCACATTGCAGCTAGCATAAGATTTTTTTTTTTTTCAATTCTTTTTAAAAAATTGAGATGGGGCCGGGCACGGTGGCTCACGCCTGTAATCCCAGCACTTTGGGAGGCCGAGGTGGGAGGATCACGAGGTCAGGAGATCGAGACCATCCTGGCTAACATGGTGAAACCCCGTCTCTACTAAATATACAAAAAAATTAGCCGAGCGAGGTGGTGGGCGCCTGTAGTCCCAGCTACTCGGGAGGCTGAGGCAGGAGAATGGCGTGAACCTGGGAGGCGGAGCTTGCCGTGAGCCGAGATTGCGCCCCTGCACTCCAGCCTGGGCGACACAGTGAGACTCTGTCTCAAAAAAGAAAAAATTGAGATGGGGTCTCACTATGTTGCCCAGGCTGGTCTCAAATTCCTGGGCTTAAGTGATACTCCCACTTCAGCCTCCCAAAGTCCTGGGGTTATACGCATGAGCCACTGTGCTTGGCCTAGAATAAGATTTTTAAAGTAGGTTGGACATTTTGCTTTCTCACAGCCCTTCAGAAGCTTCTCATTACAATTGAATACAGACATGGACCTTCCACAGCTTACCACTGCGTGCTCTCAGAATGTTGTCTGTGCTACCCTGCTCATAGTCAAGGCACACTGGCCTCCTTAATAGCTTTGAACAGTCTCAGTTCTTGCTGTCTCTTTAGGATTTTTGCACATGCGGTTTTTTGTTTTTTTGTTTTTTTTAGTCTGTGCTGCTGTAACAAAATACCTGAGATTGGGTAATTTATAAAGAACAGAAATTTATTTCTCACGGTTCTGGAGGCTGGGAAATCTAAGATCAAGTTCTCAGCAGATTTGGTGTCTGATGAAGACTACTCTCTGTTTCCAAAATGGCATCTTTCTGCTGCATCCTCTGGAGGAAAGAAATGCTGCGTCCTCACATGACGGAAGGGACAGAAGGAGTGAACTCACCCTTTTGAGCCCTTTTATGAGGCATTCATCCATTCATGAGGGCAGAGCCTAAAGGCCCCACCTCTTGATACCATTGAATTTGGGGATTAGGCTTCAAAGTGAATATTGGAGAAATACCAAAGTTCATGTTGAACTTTAGTCCCCAACGTGAGGGTATTAAGAGGTGGTATTAAGAAGTATTAATCACTTGGGAAGTGGTTAAGTCATGAAGGCTCTGCCCTTGTAAATGTGATTAATGCCCTTATGGAAGAGGCTACAGAGAGTTGCCTGGCCCCTCCATTCCTTCTACTGTGGGAAGACACAGCATTTATCACCTCCAAAGGACACAGGGATATAAGGTGCCATCTTGGAAGCAGACAGTGAGCCCTTATCAAACACAGAGTCTGCTGGCACCTTGATCTTAAACTTCCCAGCCTCCAGAACTGTGAGAAATAAATTTCTATGGTATTTTGTTATAGCAGCACAAACAGACTAAGACATTCTTCCTTTTAACTACCCACTTTTCCATCATCTTGTATTCATCCTTTAGGTCTCAGCCCTAATATTGTCTCCTCAGAAATTTTTTTACTCATCGTCAATAAATAGGTTCACACTGTATTTAATTATATACTTGTTTAATGTCTATCTTCCTCACAAGACGCTAAGCTCCATGAGGGCAGAGTTCTGTCTGTTTTGTTGTATATCTCAATCTTAGGTGGATGGGTAGAAAATGCTAAGTGTTTGATACATCTTTGATGACTGAATGAATTATCAACCTTTGGTAGAGAAGGCATTATATTTGTTTCAAGAGCAGAGGCTTTGAAACCAGACAAAATCAGGATTCTAGTCCCACCTCTTTTGCTTACTATGTGAGCCTTTAAGGTGTCACTTAATGTCTTTGAGCCTCAGTTTTCTTGTTTGTTAAATGGAGATTCCATTTATTCACAGTAATTCTCTTCCATAGAATTACTGTGATGGTTAAATAAGCTATCATCTATAAAAATACAATGCCTGAGACATAGTAGGAATTAATTAATGTTGGCTCCCTCCTCTTGAAGTGAAAGTAAAGCCAAAAAATTGTTTTCAGTGTCTTATAAGAGCATGTAGTTTTTTTGTTTTTTTTGAGGGGGAGTTTTGCTCTTGTTGCCCAGGTTGGAGTGCAATGGTGCAATCTTGGCTCACTGCAACTGCTCACTGCAGCCTCTGCCTCCCGGGTTCAAGCAGTTCTCCTGCCTCAGCCTCCTAAGTAGCTGGGATTACAGGCCCCCGCCACCACACCCAGCTAAATTTTGTACTTTTAGTAGAGATAGGGTTTCACCATGTTGGCCAGGCTAGTCTCCTGAGCTCAGGTGATCCACCCGCCTCGGCCTCCCAAAGTGCTGGGATTACAGATGTGAGCCACTGGGCCTCTTTTTTTTTTTTTTTTTTTTTTTTAAGACAAGGTCTCACTTTGTTGCCCAGACTGAACTGCAGTGGTGTGATTTGGCTCACTGCAACCTCCACCTCCTGGGTTTTAAGTGATCCTCCCACTCAGCCCCTGAGGTAGCTGGGACTACAGGTACACACCACCACACCTGGCTAATTTTTCTGTAGAGACAAGGTCTCACTATGTTGTCCAGGCTGGTCTTAAACTCCTGAGCTCAAGCGATCTGCCCGCCTCAGCCTCCCAAAGTGCTGGGATCAGGCATAAGCCATCACAACTGGCCTGAGCCGGTAGTATTTTAATGGTATCATTTGTGCTTGATATTCATAGTTGGCATTCAGACTTGCTTTGTATGGTTGACAGAAGTTTTACTTCCTAATAATGTGAGGTCTTGGAGGATAGACTTTGTGACTGTCAGTCAGTTATAGATAATTGTGGCTCTTGACTTCTGTTAAGTTGATCCCAACTTGTAATATAATAGTCAAGATACAAAGGATAATACCATTTTAACAAATAGCAAACAACTCTGCTCTTTAAAGCCTCTGTCCTTTTTCTTTATGGCTCATGGTATCCTCAGAGGTTAGTAAGGTACCAGAGCTCAGAAGAAGGAAGTGTAGCACTGGAGGTGAAACTGATTTTTCTGATCATGAAGCCCTCATCAGGTGCTGCACAAAAGAAGGGGAAGAACACTCTGCTTTCCACAGAATAACTCAGATTTCTAAAGTGGATCCTAACGTACAGCTCGCCCTTCCTTCCTCCCCTCCCCTCCCCTCCCTTCCCTACCTTTCTTCCTTCCTTTCCTCTCCTCCCTCCCTTCCTTTTTTTTTTTTTTTTTTTTTTTTTTGATAGAGTCTCGCTCTGTCGCCCAGTGCAATGGCGTGATGCAATCTTGGCTCACTGCAACCTCCACCTCCCGGGTTCAAGTGATTCTCCTGCCTCAGCCTCCAGAGTAGCTGGGACTACAGGCATCAGCCACCACGCCCAGCTAATTTTTTGTATTGTAGAGTTTTGCCATGTTGGCCAGGCTGATTTCAAACTCCTGACCTCAGGTGATCCGCCCACCTCAGCCTTCCAAAGTGCTGGGATTACAGGCGTGAGCCACTGTGCCCGACCACTTACAGCTTTTTCTTATATGAGATGGAGCTTGAATTAGTGTAGGTTTTATATATTACTATCAAGGATGGATGGTCTTTAGGAATGTTCAGAGAGAACTTTATAGTTCTAACTTACTATTTCAGTAGCATATTTTGAAAAGGGATGGTTTAGAAGTGACTTGGAGTTAGGGAAAGAGAAATATGATAAATTGGAACGAAGAAACTTTTCAGAATATTCATCCAATGAACATTTAATGAGTATCCAATATTTACAAAGAAGAGGAGTTACCTTAAAATTGAAAAAAAAAATGTGTAAGCCTAATCTATGCTAGCACTTTCACACATTCTGTGTTATTGAATCTCCCTAAAGAAATTGTTAACTCTGATAGATCAAGAGACTCTTCTCAGAAGTTAAGTAATCGTCCATTGATTAATAAATGGCAAAGCTAGGATTCTAAATCAGATCCTCTTTCCAAGTTTACTTTCTGCTAAACTGCAGCTGGGGTTGTCCAATTTTACATAAATGTACGGAGGAACCAAAAAGACCCATAAGAGAATTCTTTTTTTTTTTTTTTGAGACGAGTCTCGCTCAGTCGCCCAGGCTGGAGTGCAGTGGTGCGATCTCAGCTCCCTGCAAGCTCCGCCTCCCGGGTTCACGCCATTCTCCTGCCTCAGCCTCTCAAGTAGCTGGGACTACAGGCGCCCGCCGCCATGTCCAGCTAATTTTTTGCATTTTTTAGTAGAGACGGGGTTTCACCGTGTTAGCCAGGATGGTCTCAATCTCCTGACCTCGTGATCCGCCCACCTCGGCCTCTCAAAGTGCTGAAATTACAGGCGCATGCCACCACATCTAGCTAATTTTTGTATTTTTAGTAGAGATGGGTTTTCACCATGTTGACCAGGCTGGTCTCGAACTCCTGACCTCAAGTGATCCATCTGCCTTGGCCTCCCAGAGTGCTGGGATTATAGGCATGAGGCACCGCACCCAATCAAGAGAATTATTTTGACTAAATTGAGTTATAGGAGGAATATAGATAAATTTGGTGGTTCTACGGTCATTTGTTTGTACACTTCTGTTACAGCATTTATCCTAGTCTGTCTTGTATTTTTATTACTTGTATGTGTCTCTCACCACTACTATATTGTGAGTTACTGTAGAGCAGAGGCCATGATTGTCTCATATGTCTTGGTAACTACTTCAAATTCATTTAAAATGACTGGGCATCCCTTTTTTAAAGTTGTCTTTATTTCACAGTACCTGACGTGGTGTCTTGTACATAGTAGGTAAGTGCTTAAAGTGGAGCCCAAGCCTCATAGGACTAGTTGTCTTTGAAGAAGGTGGTGTTTCAGCCCATGTCCCAGCACTTCTCTTGGTGAACTCAGCAGGGATTTGGGACCTAGTAATTAAGTAGCTGAGAAGCCAATATTCATCCTCTCATTCTCTGAGAAGCATGTTGGTAGCAGAGTGCATTATATTAATACATGGTAGGGGGTACAAGCATAACAGTGAGACTTGGGATTTGGCTTAGGCTTCCCATAGCCAAAGAAATGCTGAGGGGAGATTCATGTTGGTAGGGTCGAAGTAGCATTGGACTACAAGTAAAAAAAAAAAGTCTGTGTTGTACTTGACTGTGCTACTATTTAACTTAGTGACTTTTGACAAGTAACTTATGCCCCTGAGCCTCAAATTCTTCATTTAGATTATGGTGATAACAAGTTTCAGGGCCGTTTGCCACCTATAATCTGAAGATGGGAAATTTATTTTACCCAAGCTCTGATGAGTTCAGTTGAGAGAGTTGTTGAATTTTTTCCCCTGAGCTATTTGACTAATTATTGTTGGGACACCAGGCAGACTGCATGATCATCTATGGCAGGTGTGACTGCACTCTAGGAGAGACAGTGATGAAAACACCTGACGCTAGAAATCTGAAACAATGCCTAAACAGTTGAATGCATCCATTCTGGAGCATATTAACCTTTCCTTTTGGGAGAGGCCAAATTAAGGTCTGTTACATTACCTCTAAAGACCGTAATGTGACACTGGAGCTTCAGGATTGAAAAGTGAGATTGTCTTAATTTACAGCAACGAGGGGATTTTGGCTCTAACTTCCAGATTTGTTTATTTATTTATTCACTTATTTATTTATTGACAGAGTCTTGCTCTGTCACCCAGGCTGAAGTGCAGTCGCATGATCTTGGCTCACTGCAACCGTGACCTCCTGGGTTCAAACGATTCTTGTGCCTCAACTACCCAAGTAGCTGGGATTACAGGCATGTGCCACCATGCCCAGCTAAATTTTGTATTTTTAGTAGAGATGGGGTTTTGCCATGTTGGCCAGGCTGGTCTTGAACTCCTTGCATCAAGTGATCCACCTGCCTCAGCCTCTCACAGTGCTGGGATTATAGGTGTGAGCCACTGTGCCTGACCCAGATGCTACTTTTAAGTTTGTTGGATGATTATGCTCTTTAATAATGTTGTTACACAGTATGAGACTTTTCAGTCCGCTTTCTAGAACTGTGGAACAAAAACCAAAATGCCTTCAGTTGGTCCAGAAAGAAGGGATTTGCTTTTATTTCAATTAAAAATTGGGAGACTTATCTTTATTATGTGGCCCTCTCTTACAAAGAACAAATTGCTTTGTAAACTCAGGTAAGCACTTTGTATCTCTGATCTCTACATTCCTCATTTGAAACATGGTAGAACTGGACCAGCTAATCTCTAAAGTCATTTCATTGGCTCTACCTTGCCTTGATTTTAAGTGTCTGTGTGATTGTACTGTTTCTTTGGGACTCTCTGGTTCTTAACCCAGCATAGCATGTTCATCAGTATAAAACATGAGTTTAGAACTTTTGGTTTGTAACCCATTCTTCATGTTGTGTCTTGGAGAGTTAATTCAAGTGCTCAGTCCCAATGTCTCCATTAAAAAATGAGAATGAAAGTTTTTATCTATTTCCATCCTAACATTGAAGTGGGTAATGATGATATTTGGTGAAGTATAAGGCACTGTACTAGGTAGTCAAGGGACCAAGGTTCTAGGTTCTATTCCTAACTTTTTTTTTTTTTTTTTTTTTGAGACGAAGTATTGTTCTTGTTGCCCAGGCTGGAGTACAGTGGCGCCATCTTGGCTCACTGCAACCTCTGCTTCCCAGGTTCAAGTGATTCTTCTGCCTCAGCCTCCCAAGTAGCTGGGATTACAGACACCCACCAACTGACCCAGCTAATTTTTGTATTTTTTTAGTAAAGACGGGGTTTCACCATGTTGGCCAGGCTGGTCTCGAACTCCTGACCTCAGGTGATCCACCTGCCTCACCCTTTCAAAGTGCTACGATTACAGGCATGAGCCACCACGCCTGGCCTCCCTAACTCTTAAGTAGTTGTGTGCCTTCCTACCAGTCACTAATCTTTTTGTGCTTCAGTGTCTTAGACTGTAAATTATTGAAAAGCTACACGAATGTCCATTATGTGCCATATACCTATGTCAATCACTTTATGTACATCATTTGTTATCTGCAGCAGCAAAGTGAGAACAAATGGGAACTTAGGCCCTGAAAGGCAAGTCGTGTGCAAGATCCCACAGGTAGGAAATGGCAGAGCTAGGATTAGAAGCCACATCTTTCACTCCAAAGCCTGTTCACTTTCTTTACCTATACTGTTATTTTTTCTTTTATTTTTTTAAATGCTTTTTTGGAGATGGGGTCTTGCTATGTTATCCAGGCTGGACTCAACTGGGCTCAGGCCACCCTCCAGCCTCAGCCCCTGGAGTAGCTGGGACTATAGGCACATGGCATAGCACCCAGATACACCTATACTATTCCACTTCATTTGCAGCATAAGATCTACTGTATATGCTTTCTAGGATTGTTGCTAGGAACAGATTGGATATCGGATACCACATTGCTTTTGGCCATTAGAATTTTATAGTTAGAACCCGTGAGCAACTCTAGTGTATTTAAGATTCCGGATTCAAATCTCAGCTCTGCTACTTATTTAGCTTTGGATCTCCGATAAGTTACTTAATCTCTTCATACATCTTTTTGTCATCTATTGAATGGGAATAATAGTACCAACTCCATACAGTGACATGAGGACCATGCAAAGCATTTTTAATATTATTTTGCATATAGTGAGTATTCAGTATATATTAGTAAATAGCAGTGTAGTTGGGATTGTTTTATTTACTCCCCTTGTTTTAGTTATGGGGAAGCTGAAACAGTGCTCAAGATGAAGCAGCTAATTAAAGCCACTGAAAAGAATAAAGTTTATATATGTAAGATTATATTGAATATTTTACAAATAAACATTTACTGTTAAATTCAGTATATAGTGACAACATTACCCTCAATCCACAGGTTGGGGGGATGGGGTAGGCTACAGAGGGAAGAGAGAGCTAGAGCTTGGGTTAATGATTTATCTGGCAAGGGTTCTGGGCCTTTCATCACGAGCATTTATTGGTTGCCTGTTACATCGACCCATCAAGCCTCTAACTTCTTCATCTTAGACAACTCTGCAGAAGACTGGGGGGACAACTCTTTCTCTCTGATTAGATCAGGTTCTGTCAGATGTGTATGTATTGACTTTTTATCTAGTTGTCTTGATGAAACCCAAGACTCAGACTTGGAGTTAAATGTAACAGATTGTATGCTGTGGTTTGATTTGAAGTTCAGGTATGAGGGGAGGAATGCCCTGCGTGATCCATCCCAAATTTATTAAAGTTCTCTGTATTGGGTTTGGAGGCCTCAGTCCTAGCTAATATAAAACGTAACTTTATTACCTGGTTTTTTGCTTTTTGTTCCTTTTGTTCATGAAACTCCTTTGGTAATATCAATATGTTCCCTTTGTTCATGAAACTCCGTTGTTGATTTTACTGGGTATAGGATTTGAGTATTCCTCAGTATCATCACACCATGTGACAACACTCTAATCTCACCAGTGTTTTTAATGTGTACACACATACCTGTCAGTCTAAATTTCAAAAAAACCCAGAAAGAATGTTTGACAGAGCATCATTTTTAGGCAGTTTTATAGCATACAGAGGCAGTCAATATGAAGTACAAATTTGGGGAGACTAGGTTAAATGCTACAAAAGAAAGATTCTTATTTATGTGACATTGATTTTTTCCCCCATCTTTATAGGTTGCTATGGTGACAGACTATGGGGCCTTTATCAAAATCCCAGGCTGTCGGAAGCAAGGTAGGAGCCTATAACTTGAAATTCAGCCCTCTGATTCTACTCTCTGCTAACACCCCACCACCTCCTAATTATAAGCTGTACATTTTTCAGACAGTAGTTTTTCATTCATTTGTTTTCTTTTTAATATAGATATGAATACAAGATGACAGTTCATTTTTAGCGAGCAGAAGAATGGTGGTCTCTGACTCAGGAGGAAGGCTGAGGTATAGCTAATTGGGTTTACTTCTGAAACCAGCTCCTCTTTAGACCTCACCTGTGACCCTAGGCAAATCACTTGACTTCTTTTTTTTTTTTTTTTTTTTTTTTGAGACGGAGTCTCGCTCTGTCGCCCAGGCTGGAGTGCAGTGGCCGGATCTCAGCTCACTGCAAGCTCCGCCTCCCGGGTTTACGCCGTTCTCCTGCCTCAGCCTCCCTAGTAGCTGGGACTACAGGCGCCCGCCACCTTGCCCGGCTAGTTTTTTGTATTTTTTAGTAGAGACGGGGTTTCACCAGGTTAGCCAGGATGCTCTCAATCTCCTGACCTCGTGATCCACCCATCTCGGCCTCCCAAAGTGCTGGGATTACAGGCTTGAGCCACCGTGCCCGGCCCACTTGACTTCTTTAGACACAGGATTTGCAGGAGGGCAAGCTACCGCTGTCTGAGGCTGACAGTGTGAGTTTTCTAGTAGATAGCGCATGAAATGAGAATAGTATTGTAAGTGATACAAGCATATATATATATATATATAATGTTTTAAGTTTTTTTCATAAAGAGGCATCTGTTGAACATTTTTTGAGAATCCTGTTATAAGTCTATAATCTTATTTATTTACCAAAACTATGTTAAGCATAAAAGGCAGGTTCCACAGACTGGTTGTCTGCCCAGAGTGGGCTAGGTAGTGGCATAGCCAAGACTAGAACCCAGTCCTTCTGATTCCTAGCCCCTGGATCTTTCTACTATATCACACTGCTGGTGGATCCAAAGATTCTACTTGCTAACTTCTTATGCTAAAATAAGTTAAGATTTAATTAAAGATTTTAATTTTTTTAAAAGCCATTAAGAGTACTAGAAGAAAATCTAGAAGAATATTTCACTACATAAAAATTAAAAATTTAATTGCAAAAATCATTGTAAGCAGAGTTAAGTTGGGAAAAAGAATTTGTAGTACATATGATAAAGAACTAATACAAAGGGGGTATTAGGAAAAGGTGCCAAGGATGTGAAAAAACAACTCACAGGAGAAAAGAATATTACTTGGTACTATAGTAAAAGATACTCATTCTCAGTATGATTAAAAAGTAACTTAGACTAGTAGATTCATATAATGCGATATTACTCAATAATACAAAGGAATGAGAATAAAATATTCATACATGCAACAACCTGAATCAATCTCCAGAAATTATACTGAGTGAAAAAAGCTAATCTCAAAAGGTTATACACTTTATGATTCCATTTATATAGCATTCTTATGTTTTACTTGAGATATGATTCACATACCACACATTTCACCTGCTTAAAGTGTACAATTCAGTGGTTTTTTGGTATATTCAGAGTTTTGTGACCATCACCACGATCTACTTTGAGAACATTGTTGTCACCGTAAAAAGAAACCCTGTACCCATTAGCCATCACTCCAGATTCTCTGTATGCCCCCAGCTTTAGGCAACCATTATTCTATTTTATCTCTATATTTGCTTATTTTGTACATTTGTTATAAATGGAATAATGCAGTATATAGTCTTTCGTGACTGACTTCTTTTACTTAGCGTGTTTTCAAGGTTCATCTGTTTTATAATATGTACTTCATTCTTTTTTATTGCCATTACAAATTAATTTGTTGCAATTCCATCAGTTGATGGATATTTGGGTTGTTTCCACTTCTTTAGTATTATGAATAATGTTGCTATAAATATTTGTGTACAACTTTTTGTGTGGATATTTGCTTTCATTGGGTATATTCCTAGGAGTAGAAATACTGGGTCATATGGTAACTCTGTGTTCAACTTTTTGAGAAACTGCCAAACTGTTTTTCCAAAGTGAGCACGCCATTTTACATTCCTACCAGCAATGTATGAGAGTTCTACTTTCTTTACATCTTTGTTAACACTTGTTATTATCTTTTTGGGTATGGCCATCCTAATGGATGTGCAGGGACATCTCATTGTGGTTTGAATTTCCCTAATGGCTAATGATGTTAAGTCTCTTTTCTTGGGTTTATTGGCCATTTGTATATCTTTTCTGGGAAAATGTCTATTCAAATCTGATACATTTTGACTGTGTCCCCACCCAAATCTCATCTTGAATTGTAGTTCCCGTAATCCCCATGTGTTGTGGGAGGGACCAGGTGGAGAGAATTGAATCATGGGGGTGGTTTGCCCCATCCTGTTCGCATCATAGTGACATAAGATCTGATGGTTTTATAAGGGGTTTCCCTTTTTATAAGGGAAACCCCTTATAAAACCATCATTCGCTGGGCACTTATTCTCCTTCCTGCTGCCCTGTGAAGAAGGACGTGTTTGCTTCCCCTTTCCCCGTGGTCATTAAGTTTCTTGAGACTTCCCTAGCCATGCTGAACTGTGAGTCAGTTAAATCTCTTTCCTTGATAAATTACCCAGTCTCGTATGTCTTTATTAGCAGTGTAAGAACAGACTAATACAAAATCCTTTTCTCTTTTTGAGACAGAGTCTCGCTCTATTGCCCAGGCTAGAGTGTAATGGTGCAGTCTTGGCTCACTGCAACCTCTGCCTCCTGAGTTCAAGTGATTTTCATGCCTCAGCTTCCTGAGTAGCTGGGATTACAAGCATGTGCCACCACTCCCCGCTACATTTTAGTAGAGACAGGGTTTTGCCATGTTGGCCAGACTGGTCTTGAACTCCTGTCCTCCGGTGATCTGCTCTCCTCAGCCTCCCAGAGTGCTGGGATTAAAGGTGTGAGCCACCACACCTGCCTGGTTATTTTTGTTTTTATTGTTGAGTTAGGTGTTTCTCATATATTCTGGATACTAGTCCCATATCAAATATATGATTTGCAAAGATTTTTATGTAACATACTTGAAATGACAAAATTAAGTGGAGAACAAATTATTTAATGGTTGACAAGGATTAAGGAGGGGAAGGAAGTAGCAATAGGACGGATCCTTGTGGTGAGGGACCTGTTCTGTATCTTAACTGTGGCAGTGTATACATGAATCTGCACATGTGGTAAAATTACGTGGAACTAAGTACATACACATACACAAACACAAATGAGTGCAGGTAAAACTGGGGAAATCTGAACAAGAGCCAGTCGATTTTATCTGAGATGTTTTTTCCTACACCAACCAATTCTCCGGTTCTCTGATTCTCTAACATCAACTGGATGTCCAACAATTCAATTCAATTCTGACACTAATTACCTGGGAGTTAGTGTCAGATTCCACATGGTTAAGGCCTCAGTCCCACATGACTGTCCTCACTTCAGATGCCAACCCCAATATTGGATCCTCAGATTACCTACACTTTTGTCTCGCTTGGCTACAATTTTTGGGATTCCCAGCACTTTGCCCCAAAGTTAGTAATTTGCTAGAGTGACTCACAGAACTAAAAAAAAAGCTATAGTTACTATTAGTTTATTTTAAAGGATAAAAATGAACAGTCAGATGAGGAAGTACACAGGGTGAGACCCAAAGCGTTCCGAGTACAAAGCTTTTGTCCCCATGGAGTTGGGGTGTGTCACCCTCTTGGTGACATGTGGTAACTCTGTGACCCCACAGGGATGTATTCACCAACTCTCCAAACTCCATTGCTTAGGGGTTTATATGGAGGATCTGTTACATAGACATGGTTGATTAAATTATTGGCCTTCAGTGATAGAGCTCAGTCTCCAGCCCCTCTCCCCTTCCCAGAAGTCAGAGGGTAGGGCTGAAATTTCTTTTTTTCTTTTGAGAGGAAATCTAGCTCTGTTGCCCAGGCTGGAATGCAGTGGTGCGATACTGGCTCACCACAATGTCTGCCTCCTGGGTTCCAGCGTTTCTCCTGCCTCAGCCTCCCAAGTAGCTGGGATAACCCTATCTAATCACATCCTTGATTTCTCTGTTTCTGAAGCTATCTAGGGACCCACCAATAGTCACCTCATTAAGGGACTTAATGAATAACAAAAGACACTTCTATCACTCAGAGTAGTCCAAGGGTTTTAGGAACTCTGCCAGGAACTAGGGACAAAGATCGTATATGTATTTCTTATACCACAGTATCAATGCCAGCATCTTGGTTGTGATAGTGTACTATAGTTTTCCAAAATGTCACCATTAGAGAAAACTGGATAAAGTGTACATAAAACCTCTGTATTATTTCTTTTTTTTTTTTTTTTTGAGACGGAGTCTTGCTCTGTTGCCCAGGCTGCAGTGTGCAGTGGCACAATCTCGGCTCACTGCAAGCCCCACCTCCCGGGTTCACGCCATTCTCCTGCCTCAGCCTCCCTAGTAACTGGGACTACAGGCACCTACCACCACGCCCGGCTAATTTTTTGTATTTTTAGTAGAGACGGGGTTTCACCATGTTAGCCAGGATGGTCTCAATCTTCTGACCTCGTGATCCACCTGCCTCGGTCTCCCAAAGTCAGCTGGGATTACATGCCTGAGCCACTGAGCCCGGCCTCACCTCTGTATTATTTCTTTTGAGTGCAGGTGAATGTACAATTATCTCAAAAAATTTTTTTCACATAGGGCAGCAAAGTTATCAAATGCTTTTTAAAAATGATTTAAAACACTCCTAAAATCTTTGAGATTAACAAATATTTTAAAAGATTGCTGTTAATACCCAGTGTTAGACATGGGCACTTTTACTCACTATCAGGAGCATAATTTCACAGACTTTGGCAATGCCTATTAACATTTTTTTTTTTTTTTTTGAGACGAAGTATCGCTCTGTCGCCCAGGCTGGAGTGCAGTGGCCCGATCTCGGCTCACTACAAGCTCCGCCTCCCGGGTTCACGCCCTTTTCCTGCCTCAGCCTCCCGAGTAGCTGGGACTACAGGCGCC